TGTTCACGCTTAACGCATGTGGACTTCTTACGCATTCTGAGTGGCAGTTCAGCCTTCGGCTGCTGGAGTGCCGTATATATGTTACGCAACGTCAAAGTAAAAGCAGTGGTTGACTTTGCATACTGGGGAGTAGAGCATCCATTGCCACGTGTGATTCGGTTGTCCACGCTGGAGGTACCCCGTGCTATTCTTCAAAAGTTGCAGCATGTATTTGGATTTCCGAGAAGTTTTAATAAAAACACAAAGAGGTTGCAAACAATATTACAGCAAAAAATCGTTAATGCTGGACCCTTTAGCTGTCGTGTCTAGCAGCACTATGTCATTAATCTTGGCTTGTCAGTTAAACATGTCTACCTCGTCTTTAAAATCATTAACCACTATTTCCAGCTATTTACGTGTTGCTCCCATCTTTCTTACATCGATGTCCGCAGTAGTCAAACTGGTTTGTAAATAGCTATAATCAATACCACTATTAAACATTAAGTCAGGATTTTCATTTATTTTTCTTTTGGTACAGCTCTGATAATGACTAATCGTAGTCCTCTACACGGTATTGCGGACTGTATATAATTAGATGACCAAGTTTCAATGGAATTTTTTCGGGACGCGTTGACTAACAAAGACGGTGCTCGCATTAAAGCATGAATGGCACTTTACGATCAACATGTCGCAGAACCATCATTTGGTTTTGTAAAATTTTCTCAAAGCAAGGGACATACCAGAACAAAGCCCTTTACCTTCTGTTATAATGGTCGCTGCTTCGGCGCCTGTTTTTCGGCAGACCAGAGGCCACTTGTTTTACCAGTAGCCTTAGTTGATGACTGTTCTATTACTTGCTACTTTTAAAAGTCTTGTTAATCTACCAGCAGGGCTAGTAGATTACGCGTCTATTACGCGATACACGATAAGCCCGGCGAAGTGGCTTGATGACCAAACACAAAGCTATATGTTTCTAGATGTCGTCGTTAAAGGCCCTCGTAATTGTCAATGGAATTCTAAGTGCATTGTCCTCATGTATTTCCATTGCGGCTATGCAAACTATTTATCGTATTTTTGCGAAGGTTGTGCATTATACCTGCTGCACACTACGATAGCAATTTTGCAACGTCTAGCAATTTTATACAGACGCGCAGACTTCGTCAATTGATGGTCTTAGCTAAAAGGGTTGTCCAGTGGATAAAAATGAAGCCATTTATTGTGACCAATGATACATTTTTTGGTCAACATGGATATGAATGACCGGTGAAAAGCGGACAAACAAACCACAAGATACTAGTATAGTCAGGGATGAGATTCATAACTGTAGGTTTTTAATGCAAAGCAATATTTTCTTCTTGTAGCGTAATTTATATGAGATTTATATTTCAATGGCGCCCTCTTATACTTTTCGGAATGCTGTACATTGCGAGTTTAAAGGCATTCTGACAGATGTAAAGGCGCGATGAATATTTATAGCAAAACCCGCCTTGCGTTTTTCGCAAAAGATTTGCAGACTTTCTGAAGATGAAATACGAGTGAGAAAAGACAGGATAAGAATAAAATTCCTAGAGGTTGTCAGACGCTCCCATGGAACCCATGACAATTAATGAGGATTAACGTTATGCCTTCTTGATAAAATGGGCACTGTTGTTTACTAATGTAGATAAATAACGCTTAAGAAGTGAAGTCAGACATCGTGCAACTATGGTTCATTCCTATAAAACATATTATTTATTTAAGCACAGACATCTGTTTATTGTATACCTTGCTGGAAAATGTTAAACAAGAGTGATGCACCAAAACGGCCACATACTGCTTCACTTTACGCGCATGTTGCTGAAGTATTTTGATGTCCAGTGAGAACTGATAAATATTTTGATGAATTACACGAAATGCAGATGCTAGCGCATCACATTAAAAAGTACCCTTCATCAGTATATTTTGTATTTAGTTAAAATGCTTTCTTAGGTGGGATAACAATACTTATTTATGTGGACATAATCTCAAAATAGATTTCCACAACTTAAAGGGCACGAAAATTAAAAGTTGATCTGTCCCAATTAATTTTATATTTAACCATTAGGTCAGCATGTTTTGTGCATGTTTCACTTAGGTACATTTGCATTTAAAAGGGCATATGAAATCATTTGAAATATCCCCGCTACCTATTTAGCCATCTCAGACCACGTTATTTGTGATGTCAAGCTTTTGGAAATGTAGCTCATGCAAGAGCCGGCATTTTCTTGTGACCGAAACGAGCTAGGATTAAACAGCACGAAAATTGCCACTTTTCCAATTAAAAACGCGTTTCAAGTTATGTGCATTCAGTGTTCTTCTAACTATCTACCGCAAGCTATGACACGCAAAATAACATGCAGCTGCTAGCCGCATGTGTTGCTGTTTTGCATTGACACAGTGTGCGTTTCCTGGAAAAACGTATTGCAAGCGAAATAATTCTTAGTAAGATGAGATCAAGATGGAACAAACAATTGCCAATTTGCATGCTGCTGAATAACAACACTTATATTTTTAAAAAACGCAGTTAATACCTTTGGTGTTGCCCACCAAAAACACAAAATTGATGAATATGCCAACCTTTGGCTGTACTACCACCTTCTAACAACAGTTCAGTAATAATACCCGGGAAGTTGTATTTAGAGAATCAGGTCAATATTACCTCGGTCAGTACCACAGCAAAACTCCCATATAAACACAACGTGAACATGGCATAATAATTATATATATTCATTGATGTTTTGGCAGATTTTTGAATTATTCATATTGACCCTACTGTGAAAAACTCGGCGCCTCGGTGGGATTCGAACCCACGCAGTAAGGGGAAGGCTTAAGCGCAACCAACGCACTCACCGGGCCACAAGCCCGTTGCCTTGTCGGTTTTCGATCGCGAATATACAATGTTAGGGGGCGCTCACCGATCGTTCATACGGAACTCACTCGTTCCATCGACAAGGCAACGGGCTCGTGGCCCAGTGAGTAGAGGCGTTGACTTCTAAACCAACAGGTCGCGAGTTCGAGGCTCGGGTGTTCCACACTTCGGGCTTGGGTATGGCTGGCTGACGACGGCTAATAAGCCAGAAATGGCCATTCCAGTCTCCCTTGTCTTTGTCGGCAATAGCATTCTGCCTATATATCATGCGCCGCTGTGCGGCTGCTGGTTGGGCTCTAGAGAGAGTCCATAAGGCACAACGGAACGAGTGAGTTCCGTATGAACGATCGGTGAGCGCACCCTAACATTATATATATATATATATGTACTGGAAGATGGGCATCCCAAGAAATATAAGTTAAAGACAGAGGCGTTCTTTGGAAAATAAAACAATTTATTGCGTGAATTTTCGACGCTGGTTCCCCAGGTCGTCTTCGGACGCAAACTGAGAGTAAATGTGCCGTCAACAGTTAACATCTGGCAGCGCAAACAAAAACAATCGATAGTCGTTCGCGTTTGCGCCCGTGAGCGGCCGCTATTTGCGTCAATCCGTCCCGATTGGCTCTCGTCTCTTCCATTTCTCCTTCAGACTTTTGTACGCGGCGTCCAACTCGATATGACGGTTGATGCACGATTCATCCGAATGCATGGCCTCAAGGAACTCTCGGCCTTTCTTGAAGGGGCAGGCACCGAAAATCCGTGTTCTGTCCCAAGCAAACGTATGCCCTGTGTCCAGGGTATGCATGGCTACTTGAGACAGGTGGTCTCGCCTCTTTACTGCAAGTTGGTGTTCGTGAATGCGTGTAGAGGCGGATTTTCCTGTTTGACCACAATAAACTGCATCGCAGGCCTCACATGGGATCTTGTAGACGACTTCCTTTCTATCCAAATAGCCGACCCTATCCTTAAGGTGTACTATCGGAGTACGTAGTGTAGTCGTTGGTCTGTGTGCCATCAGAATTTGGTGCCCCTTTAGGTGCCTTTCCACGAGTTCAGACACGTTTTTTATGTAAGGGAGATTTCGCCATGTATTTGGCTTGGGTGCCTGACTGGGAATTCTTTGTTCCCTTTCGTTTGACTCTTTCTGTCTCATGTATCAGCGCATAAAATCCTCTTTACGTCCATACCGTTGGATCTGGCAAAACAATACACAGAGGACCTCCTGAAGTCCTGTGACACGGATGTTCCCGCTATTGCCTTACTCGAACGCTTAGACCTGTGTATGGAAACCAATTTTTCGTTCGACCAACAGTACTACCAACAACTAAAAGGAGCCCCGATGGGATCCCCTATCTCTGGCTTCCTCGCCGAGATCACAATGCAGAAATAAGAGGCCACGTCGCTTCCGTTAGTTAACCCTAAATTGTGGCTGCGGTACCTGGGCGACACTTTTGTGATCGTTAAAATGGATCAACTAGAAACGCTCCACAAAACCATCAACTCAACAATGCCGGGGATTAACTTCACACTCGAGAAAGAAGTCGACAACAAACTCTCAGTTTTGGATGTTCTCGTGCAGCGGAAGACCGACAAGACATTGCGCACATCGGTGTACCGCAAAGAAACCTATGCGGAAGTAATTCTACATTACGAGAGCAGCCACCCCATTTCCCACAAACGAAGTACCGTCAACTGCCTTCGTAATCGGGCACAAACATACTGCTCGGACGAAGAAGGCTACCCAGCCGAACTAAGCTAATTGTGTGAATTATTGTCCCGAAATGGGTACCCAAAAGATTTTGTGCGCCGATGCATGAGACAGAAAGAGTCAAAGGAAAGGGAACAAAGAATTCCCAGTCAGGCACCCAAGCCTGACATCCAGTTCAAAATGGAGGCGGAAGCCAACAATCCACTCCCGTTCCTGGACGTTCTCTTCCATCGAAAACCCAATGGGCACCTTAAAACGACGGTATAGAGGAAGGCCACTAATACGCGCCAAATCCTCAGCTTCCACAGTAAGCACCCGTTAGGCCACAAAGGCAGTTGTGTGCGAACACTCTACAGAAGGGCGGAAACACACTGCAGCGAGCCGGACGACAGAAGGTCAGAACTACGCTACCTCCAGCGCCTCTTCATGGCCAATGGGTATCCTCGCAACTTTATCGAACGCGGCAGACAGACCGGACCGAGCCGACGTTTGGTGACAGAACAACCAACAATATGGCGGGCGCTTCCATACATCGACGGCCTTTCTGAGGCCGTCTCGCGTCTTTTAAGACCGCTGGGGATCGGCATCGCCTACCGACCGGAGTCAACGATTCGACATCTGGTCATGAGACCTAAGGCCCCTCTGCCACCAGGTGAAACCACGAACGTCATCTACCGGATCCGGTGTAACTCCTGTGAAGTCAACTACATTGGGGAGACCGGAAAACGGCTACAAACTCGTGTTGGAAAACACATGAGGGCATTAAGGCGAATGGACCCTTTGTCTCTGGTGGTTGAACACTGCGCCGATGCCAGACACACGTTCGCCTTTCAGCATGCCGAAATTCTGGGCCGGGGAAACGATCGCATAGCCAGGGAAACAATCGAGGCTTGGCACACGGGGACAACCTCCATCAACCGCTGTGTGGCTCTTCCCGCTGCCTATCAAGCCCTTCGAGCGCAGCTCAGTAAACAATTGAGCAGACGTGCACCCAGGCTAAACATGAATCCAGACATGAGCGAGTCCATGGCGGATACACACTCAGTCACCCCTCAACCGGGTTCCGACGAAGGCTCAGTCCTCATCACAGCCGGTCCATCTACTAGTCCGGCGGACAAGAAAACGGACAGTCGTTGCGGCGTAAACAAGATTGCCAGTCGTGAACGACAGCCACGCTCAATGAAGGTACGAACGACGACCACCAACGTCTTAACGCCGGCCTCCGATGTAGATTGAGTACATTCCGTCACCCTCCCTCCCTTCCCCCCCCCCGGCCACCACTGTTCATGTGTGCATGCGGCTGATGACCACTAACGCTGATCCAACACTCCCTCATCCGGCGAAAAGACGCTCTAGGACTCCCCCCGCCCCTTCCCCCCTGCCGCCCTGACTTCATATGTAAGAAAACCCGTTTTGACATGACTTTCACCCACCTATAAATACTGTGAGGCGCGATACCACACTCACCTCCGACGATGGAAGCTTGTATGCTTTTGAAACGTCAGGACAGTAAAACAATGGTTCCCGAGATCGCCTTTTCTTCTCAATTATGTCCGGGGACGCGCATTTTCGCTCGCAGCTGTGTCCCGCAGCGGCAGAATATCGGCGAAACACGTGTCTGGGCTTTAAGCAAGTATCTATGTCGGGATAACGGTATAATACATTTACCATATGGAATTCATAATACTCGTAGTACTACTTGTTTGTAGAATGGGCATTACGTGGTTATTCCACTGTAGTTGATTGTCTTCGACTAAAATTTTCATTGAACTTTCGGTTATGACCCTAAAAAGTCATGTCCCGGTGATGTAACTCCAAGTCCTGCACTGATTAATTTCCGAAATTATTCACCTGATTATTCACTGCAGTTCATATACCAGAAACCGCTGGAGAACGCATTATTAAAGACACTTGATGAAATACCTGGAACAGAACAAAATTCTGTGCGATGCCCAACACGGCTTTCGTCCAGGGCCCTCCTGCCTAACGAGTGTTCTTTACTCGCACGAGAAATGGACACGAGCTACCGATAAAGGTTTTCCAGTAGATGTCATATATTTTGACTTCAAGAAGGCCTTTGACAATGTCCCACACAGGCTTCTTTTACAGAAGATCTGGGATGTAGGGATTCAAGGGAGAATGTTTAAGTGGATCAGGAGTTTTTTGTTCTCCAGAATACAGAGAGTCGTCGTTAGTAATTCTACCTCGGAATGGGTAAAGGTGGAAAGTGGTGTCCCTCAGGGTTCTGTCTTAGGCCCAGTACTCTTCCTGATTTATGTTAATGACTGCATCAGCGAAGTTAATTTCGAGGCTCTCATGTTCGCGGATGACATAAAAATATGGAGTGAAGTAAAGTGTGATGATGACGCAGAGAAATTGCAGTCGAACATCAACAAACTGTGTGCTTGGTCGAACAGATGGCTTTTGAAGTTTAACGTGTCCAAGTGCGTGGTTTTGCACCTGAACACCGGCCGCAATGCTTCTCCCAAGCACCAGTACTATATTGACGGCACGAGGTTAGAAACTGTGGAAAGACACAGAGATCTGGGTGTATGGACGAACACTAATATATCGCCATCAGAACACTGTAGAAAGATGGTCCAGAAGGCAACTAGTACTCTACACTGGATCAGACGTGCATTTAAAATACTTCCTCCCGATCTTTTCGAAAGACTCTTTGGTGTCTTTGTAAGACCTCATCTAGAGTATGGAATGTCAGCAGCCTCACCATGGATGAGGAAGGATATCAACTTACTCGAACAGGTGCAACGCAAAGCGACAAAGATGGTCGACGGTCTAAAACATTTGTCTTATCAGGAGAGGCTGAATTTGCTTGGCCTATTCCCTCTCTCTTATAGACAAATAAACTGCAGTCTACTCTGGACGTTCCGGATTGTTCGCGGCCAGGGTTGCTCATTAAGAGTAGAGGACTTCTTTGAGTTCGCCCGTACAAAACAACTACGCGGCCATGCATACAAAGTCAGGAATGAGCGCACGCGTTTAGACCGACGAAAATTTTCTTTCAGCCAGCGGGTTGTCAGACCGTGGAACTCGCTTCCAAGCGAGATGGTGTTGGCTGACACAATTTGTGTGTTTAAAAGAAAACTTGCTCGTCTAGTTTTCGACAGACATCGGCTTGTACAGCATGACTATGCACAGCCAGTTTTGTAAAATCTGTCATATACAATCTTCCGCACTAATTTACAGTGACCCCATGCACTACCTTATGATTACGTTTGAACTGTGACCCAATCACATTTTAATTGCCTGCAATTTAATTTTATTTTTGAGTATGAATCTGCGAAAGCACTGTACATAAATAGGGTCATCAAGGGCTCTGCCTGTAACCCTTCAATATACATACATACATAGCTAGATATTTGCCTCCCACTGCCATCCGGCATGATCATTAACAAGACATGCATTGCACAGTCGATATTGTCGATTAACATGCATGTATATGCAATTGTCTTGTCTTATTGATGCCATTCGTTGAATTTCAGCTTTAAAATTTACTGTTCTGGTACATGGGTGTCAAAGAACAAGCTTTTTATATTTTCGACATGCTGATATATCTTCCTATATACATAACACCGGATTTCAGACAACGCTCCTCTCGTCCCGTCATAATATAAACGGTTATTGGCTAACATGTCATTTATAATGCATGTTTGTATTTGAATGATTAGAGGCAGAGCCCCAAATGACCCTATTCATGTACAATGTTTTCACAGATTTGCACCCAAAATAAAGTTGCTGACATTTATAATATGATCGGATCATAGTACAATGGTAATGATAAGGAAGCGGATCTGTTCACTGTAAGTCAGTACGGAAAGATTGTGTATGACGAAGTGTTTTACAGAGCTGTGTATGAGTGGACATGCTGTAAAAGCCTATTTATGTCGAAAATCAAGTGAGCAAGTTTTCTTTTAAACATGCTAATTGTGTCGACCGTAACGATCTCACATGGTAGCGAGTTCTATCGCAGGATAGCCTGCTGGCTGGACGAAAACTTCTTACGGTCTAGCCGCGTGCGTTCACTCTTGACTGTGTAAGGAGGACTGTGTAATTGGTTTATATAGGCAACCTCAAAAAGCTCTCCATTCGTAATAAGCAACCTTAGCCATGGACAATCCGGAATGTCCAGAGATGACTGCAGTTTACATACTTAGGAGAGAGAGAGAGAATAAATAAGCCAAGCGTATGCAGCCTCGCCTGGTGAGACAAATGCTTTAAACTGTCGACCATTGTCGCTGATCTGCGTCGCACCTGTTCGAGCAAGTCAATATCTTTCCTCATCCATGATGAAGCTGCTGGCACTCCATACTTCAGTTGGGGTCCTACAAAGATGACAAAAAGTCTTTCGAAGTGTTAGGGAGGAAATGTTTTAAAGGTACTTTTAATCCAATGCAAAGTCCTAGCTGCCTTCTGGACCTTCTTTCGACAGTGTTCTGGTAACATTAGATTTGTGGTGGTCCATACACCCAGATCTTTGTTATTTTTTCAACAGTTTCTAACGCCGTACCGTTAATATAGTACTAGTGATTGGGCAAGGCATTTCGACCAGTGTTTAGGTTCAAACACGCACTTTTACACGTTAGACTTCAAAAGCCATCTGTCCGACCGAACACACAGTTTTGTTGACGTTTTACTGCAAATTCTTTGTGTCATCATAGCACTTGACTTCACTCCATACTTTAATTTCTTCCGCGAGCATGATGGCCTCGCAACCCAGTTTGCTGATGCGGTCATTAACATAAATCAGAAAAAAGCATGGGCCTTAGACAGAACCCTATGGTATACCACTTTATAACTTTGCCCATTTCGAAGCAGAGCAACTAACGACGACTCCTGATCCAAATAAAAAAATTTTCTTCAATTCCTACATCTTAAATATTCTGTAAAATAAGCCTGTGTGGAACACTGTCAAAGGACTTCCTGAAGTCAAAAGATGTGATGTCCACTGGATAACCCTTATGCGTACCTCTCGTCCGTTTCCCGTGCAATTAAAGAACACTCGTTAGGCAGAAGCGCCCAGGACGAAAGCCATGATGGTCATCATACAAATCGTGTTGTTTTTCCAGACATTACATCAAATGTCTTTTGGGTATGCGTTCCATCATTTTACACGCGATGCAAGTAAGACTGATGGAACGATAATTTCCGCAGTCAAGTCGTGGGTCTTCTTTATGGATCGGAGTGATGAGCGCACATTTCCATTTTTCCGGAAGCTCGCCTTCGTCAAATGACTTTTAAATCATTGCAGACAATGGTTCACACAGTTCATTAGCAAGTTCACGAAGTGGTAATGCGGGAATTCTATCTGGGCCAGGTGATTTGAAAAGTTGTAGCCGGAGTTATTTGGCCCTAAAAGTGGCCGATGAAAGGAGTGGTTCTGCGATTAAGGTGGGTTGGGAGGGGATAATAGAAGGAAGAGGACTTGAAGGAGAGGTTTGTCGGGAAACGGTTGGATGGGTAATATAGGACAAGGTTCTTGGTTGAAGACGGACTTAAAGAAGTTGGAAAGGAGGGACGCTTTTACCTGGTCATCAGTCTCCAATTTTCCATTTGCAGACCTAAGGGCAGGGATCAGTCCCTGAATCCTTTTAGTACCGCGTATGTAGCCATGTAAGATTTTCGGATGTCCCAACGAACTTTGCTGCATGTTCAGTTCGAACTTCCTTTGCAGCTTGGAAGCCTCACTTTTAAAAATGTTGCGTTGCTGCTTATATTCTTGTAGGTGTCTTCGGAGCCAGTTAGTTTGTAACGTCTCTAAAAACGATTCCTTTTTTTCTGAAGGAGACCTTTATTCCGAGTATATCCACTTTGGTGGTTTGTCTTTGTCTTTCTTCTGAGAGAGCAATCGGAATTGGATTATAGAGCGTCCAATAGACTCTCATTGTCCAATATAAAAGACCATATGCGCGACATCCGTGGGTCTTTCTAATGACAAATAAAGATCATGAAGATGAAATGGAGGCTATAGAAGAAGTATTTGTATCTTCGAGATACAGTAACATTCGCCGAAAATAAGGCGCATCGAAATAAATGCTGCAAACAAATACGGGTTGCTAGAACTTCTTTCGAGAACCGATTAATAGCAGAATTCGTTACATGACCCAAGAAGTTTTATGGGTTAATCAGAAGTGGGAGAAAACATAGGGACAAAAATGTGTTCCTAAAACATTGCCTCGCTAGGTTATTCGTTGGAGACCACAAAAAGTACAATTACT